TTCCTACTTTCCTCTTTCTCTGTGTGTCTCTCTCTGGTCAAATAAAATAAATGAATGAATGAATGAATAAAATTGAATAAAATAATTCTTAAAAAAAACAACCAAGAAAATGGCCAACTTAATGGTAGGAACAAGTCCAGAAATATCTATAATAACGTTCAATATTAATGGATTAAATTCTCCAATTCAGAGACACAAAAGAAACACACCTCGTGGATAAAGACATACAGACTAAAAGTGAAGGGCTGGAAAAAGGTATTCTATGCAATCAGAAACCAAAAATGGGCTGAAGTCACAATACTGATCTCAGACAAAGTAGACTTTAAAACGAAAAGTGTAAGAAAAGACAAAGATGGGCATTATATAACAGTAAAAGGGCTAATTCATCAAGAAGATGTAGCAGTTATAAACATCTGCGCGCCAAACTTAGGAGCACCCAAGGCATCCAAATACATGAAATAGAAACTGCTAGATTTAAAGGGAGACATAAACTGCAGCACAATAATCACTAAGGATCTCAATACTCCACTGATTCCTCTGGACAGATTATCTAGACAAAAAATAAACAAAGAGGTACAAGCTTTAAATGATTTCATAGTTCAAATGTACTTGACAGACATTTATAGAACATTTCACCCAGCAACCACAAAAATACATCTTTTTCTTATCCCCACCATGGAACATTTTCGAAGACTGACCACATGATAGGGCACAAAACAAGCCTTTACAGAGTCAAAGGCATAGAAACTCTCTGACCATAATGGAATTAAACTTGATATTAATTTCAGGAAAAAGTCTTGAAAATATACAAATGCATGGAAACTAAACAACCTACTCCTGAATGACTTCACAACTACTGAGGAAATTAAGACTGAAATCAATAGATTCATAAAAACCAATGATAATGAATATATGAGTCTTTATGGGACCCAGCAAAAGTAGTTCTAAGAGGGAAATTCTTAACAGTCATTGTGCATAAGAAAAAGATGCAGAGATGGCAAATGAACCACCTCACATCATGCCTCAGGGACTCGGAAAACAACAAAATCCAAAAAATGGCAAGAGAAAAGAAATAATAAAGATTTGAGGAGAAATAAATGAAATAGAAAATAAACCATACAGAAAATAAATGAAAGCAAAAGCTGTTTTTTGAAAAGATTGACACACCATTAACTTCGCTAATTAAGAAGAGAGGAAACAAAATTTGTAATGAAACAGGCAATATTACGACAAACCCAACATAAATACAAAACATCATAGGGAACCAGCAGTTAGCATAATAGCTATGTCGCAATGCCAGTTGAAAAGAAATCATAAAGATTCAAACGGAAATAAATGAAATAGAAAATGAACGAACCATACAGAAAATAGATGAAAGCAAAAGCTGGTTCTTTGAAAAGATTAACAAGATCGACACACTTAGCTAGACTGATAAAGAAGAAGAAAAAAGAAACCAAATAAATCAAATACGTGATTAAACAGGCAACATTACAACAGACACAATAGAAATACAAAACATCATTAGAGGATACTATGAGCAACTATACAACAGTAAACAAGATAACCTGGTTCAGGGAACCAGCAGTTAGCGTAATGGCTATGTCGCTGGACTCCCACGTAGTCGACCGCAGTTCGCGTCCTGGGGACCCGGTGGCTTAGAACTTAACGCCAGGCGCGTGTGCCTGCGTGCCCAAGATCCCTATAGCAAAAACCTCAAAAAAAAAAAGATAACCTGGTTCAGATGGACAAATTCCTGGACACATATAATCTGCCAAGATTGAACCAGGAGGGCATAGACCCATAACAACAAGGAGATTGAATCAGTAATAAACAACTTCTTAACAAAGAAAAGCCCAGGTCCTGATGGGTTCACTTCTGAATTCTATAAACATTTTAAAGAAGACTTAACCCCTATTCTACTCAGATTATTTCTAAAGATCCAAAAGGAAGGAACTCTATTAAATTCATTTTATGAAACCTCCATCACCCTCATCCTGCAAACAGATAAGGCACATGGCAAGAAAGGAAAACCACAGACCAATGTCTCTGATGACTATAGATGCAAAAATTCTCAACAAAATATTAGCAAATCATTTCCATCAACATATAAAAAAGATTTTTCACCATGACCAGGTAGGCTTTATTTCAAGGATGCAAGGGTGGTTTAGCATATGCAAAACTATAAACATAATACACCATAGGGAACCAGCAGTTAGCGTAATGGCTATGTCGCTGGACTCCCACGTAGTCGACCGCGGTTCACGTCCCGGACCCGGTGGCTTAAAACTCACGCCGGGCACGTGTGCGTGCATGCCCAAGATCCCGAGAGGAGAATGGAGGAGAAGGGATTGTGGCGTGACCATCCCCCCTGGGGGGTGATTTCTCGCTTTCTGTCTCTATGTCTCTCTCTGTCTGTCTGGCGAGTGCACGCGCCCTACAGTGAAAATCTCTCCAAACAAACAAACAAACAAACAAAAAACAGAATACACCAGATTTAAAGTTTAAAAAAACCATATGATCATTTCAATCAATGCAGAAAAAGCATTCCACAAAATATAGCATCCCTTCATGATTATGACTCAGCAAAACTGGCACGGAAGGGTCATTTTCAACATGATAAAAACCATCTATCAGAAACCTACGGCAAAAAACCAACCAACCAAACAAACAACAAAAACCCTACGGCTAACATTATGCTGATTGGGGAAAAGCTCAATTTGGTTTTTCCACTAAAAACTGGTACTAGACAAGGCTGCCCACTTTCTCTACTCCTTTTCAATATAGTGCTGGAAGTCCTAGCCATGCAGTCAGAAAAGTGAATAAAATGGCATTCAAATAGGGAAGGAAGAGGTGAAATTATCTCTATTTGCAGATGACATGATTGTATACATAGAAGACCCAAAGGTATCCACAAAAACCTTCTGTAGGTAATAAATGAATACAGTAAAGTGGCAGGATAGAAAAGCAACATAGAAAGATCTATAGCATTTCTATCAACAGGCAGATTTAGTTAGAATTGAAGAAAGTAATCCCGTTTACCATAGCCACAAAAAGTGTAAGATACCTTAATAAATCTAACCAAAGAAGTCAAAGATCTCTATGGGTCTGGTGGCATGGTCGTTAAAGGCACTGGACTCCCACATGGCCCGACCATGGTTCAAGTCCTGAACCTGGTGGCTTGCTTTCTCACTTTCCCTCTCTCTCTGATCAAGCTAGAAAATAATATAATAATAATAATAATAAGGTTAAGTAAAATAATTCTTTTTTTATTATACTATGCTCTTTATTTTTTGTGTATTTATTAGAATTTCCATAATAAAATGTTTTAAAATGAGTTTTCTTTTGATAATATTATCAGTATAAAAAATTAGGTATCTCTCTTCTTTTTTTTTTGGAGAGGTTTTCGCTATAGGGCACGTGCACTCGCCATGACAGACAGAGAGAGACATAGAGACAGAAAGCGAGAAATCACCCCCCAGGGGGGATGGTCACGCCGCAATCCCTTCTCCTCCATTCTCCTCTCGGG